AAGAATGCACATTGCCGTCACACTGGTCAACATAAAGACGGCAGAGCAACTAAGACACAGTATAGGCAAGTGTGCAAAAAAATGTGATGCGTACAATATTTTTAATATAATTTACCAGTGAGAAGAGTAGCGCTGCGTTATACATCAAAAGAAAGGATCTCAAGTTGTGTTGATTCATAAAACACATCTTACTATTGGGCCTTTCTTTTCCTTGGTGAAATGCCATATTTCAATCCTTAGTAATTACGTAGTCCCTGGGCCAACAATGTTTGTGTTAACGTAAAGACAACTGATTTAGAATTAGCTGGTTTATTGATTGGTTACGTCTGTCTGACACTATCTACTACATGTATTACTACATCTCTAGAGGATACTTTTCAAATATATGGGGAAGATGTGCGTGGGTGCGTGCGTGTGTGTGTTTGCGTGTGAGAGAGAGAGAAAGGAAGAGAGGGGGCATTTATACGCTTTTAAGCTTTTTATTAGATATTATTTTATAAATTGGATCTTAATCGATTGGAATAACGGAGGTACAGAACAGAGTAGTGTGGTGGTGTCGTTGAACTTCTACTGAAGAAGCATCTAACACAAGGATTTCTCCCGTGCAGTTTGGCAAGTGTCCTCACGGTCCTTGGTCTCCCAAGTTAGTTATAACAGACGTTTCCGCTGCATGACTTATCAGTTCCATTCTGGAAGACTGATTTATCAAGGGAATTCGGGATCCTGTTTCATTGCTTCAAATCATCGTTAAAGTGATCAGGATTTTTTCTCTTTGAGACTAATCGACCTTTCACCCGAATTTCCAATTTAGTTCTTTTTCTCATTTGTATGCTTCTATAGTAAAAGCCCACGCTTTTACTATAAAAGCAATTTCTGATGTGAAAATGGCAACTTTTATTACTAGCGAAATACGGATATTTAGAGGCGAGGGGACAATCTTTAAAACCAAATGATACGGCTTAATATTCGTATGAGTATGGATTATTTTGAAAAAAAAAATATATATATAAATGTGTGCCCCCACCCCTTTTTTTAAAGGCCGGTTGGCGGGGTGAACAATTTTGTTTTTTGAAGGGTGAATTCGCCTTTTCTGGTTTGTTTTGAGTGTTTTAACCTAAGATCAGGACATCATTATCGTCTGCCAATCTACCTCGCAATGAAACACAAGACACTGGTAACGTTTACAGTAATAAGGTTCACATTCGACTTTTTATTATATGCCATTGGCAATTTTCGGTATGAAGTTGCGATTGGAGAAATTTAAACGACCGTTGTGCTATTATTATATTTCCTTTCCATTCAATCTGGAATAAACCATTATAGGGAAGAAGGGTCTTCTCGGTTCTTTTACAATTCCATATAATATTCAGCATGTTAATACAAGAAGTGCAATAAAAATCTTGATGGCAAACGTCATGGTGTGAAGAGCGAAAAACGTCCCCACTTTCTGATATTCAATTTTTGGACACTTTTCGACTTACTACCAACAGTTGTTCAGAAAGACAAAGGCATGCTCAATAGCACCAAGATATGAAAAGGCGAAGGGTTGTAAGCAATACTCTACAATTGGGATTGTATTGGATCTAATTTGGCAAAAAGTAAGATACAGTTTATAATACTGCCTAAGGTGGCCCTTTCTCCTTCAATGCACGTCTTTGTGGCGTTCTCTTGACCTCCAATTCCCATGGTATTTAAACAAGAAATAGACATATTTCTTATGCCCGTTTCTTAAAAGTATATTGTCGATTAACTGTCACGATATGGACGATCAAATTGGAATTTTCAACCATTTTCCATATTTTCCTCTCTGTCTAATGTCAAATTCAGTATTGTCATTCTAGACAATGAATCCTAATTAGTTAGCAAGATCAATTTTCAAAATTTCGTTCGTTTCGAACTAAACCCAGTGTCACCTCTCGCCATTATGAACCGCGTGCGAAGTCTCACGTTTTAAATGTTTTTCACAAAAACTCAGTAAACATTTTAAGCGTTGCATATTTGAGTCTAATTATCCTAATCCCATGGCAGAACTCACTTTATTTTTAATCAGATAAAAAGCTTCCTTTTTTCTTTATTGACTTGCTACATAAATGTTATTTGGCAAAAATATTGCAAAAAAAAATTGATATGCAAATTACACACCAATTGCACAGAGATGCGCATCAACTGACTTATTATCTAGATTGAATGAAATATCAAGTTGACAGCCGAAAACGTTATCTTAAAACGGTAAATTCAGCAAATAAAGCCGAAACCTGCGGAAATTTATAAAAAGCGCAGGCCTGATTTGTTCTTATCTGCCCAGATAAGCGAAGGTGAAAAATCAGCGACCGAACGTTGCCGATAAGAATGAGTTTTTAAACCTCTGATTTGATTAAAAGAAACAGGCGTGGTCATGAGAAGATGGCTTTCTGTGCCATAATACTTCGCAGGTGCTCTCTTTAACGGTCTCTGTTTTTCTAACAAATTTAAGCCAGGAGATATCTAATAAAACGATCGTTTTCAACACTAGATATTGGCTATTAGCACCTAAAACGTCCCGTGGGCATTTCTGACCTTTCCTTATTCCCTCTATTTTCTGGCTTAAACATAGAATTATTAAGCCAAACATGGTTCCAAGAAGTCTGACCGTCACAGTGACTGTCAATTAACTGTTAAATCACCCAGCAGATCCCTAACAGCTTTGAGACTGAGTTGAAGTCGTGTCCTGACGGAAGACTGCGAATCAATTGACATGCTATCCTTTGATCTGCGCAATTGAATTGCGCCTCGGAATTGTCTTGGGAGGTAGATTTTGCACCATTTTACGTAAAAAGGAGAAAAACGGATTTTGATGGGATTACGCTCGTCCACATGGACGTAGTGCCACTCTGTGTAAAATACGAGTAAAAGGTGATTTGATCAGATAATCAGACATGTGAAAGATAATACAATGATTAATTTTTGTCTGAATACCAAGCCAGCATCAATAACATTTTACGTCTCCGATCAATGTTGTGAGCGTGTGCGTAAGAGAAAGGGAAAGAGAGAGAGAAAGGAAGCACATGGAAAGCCTGAAGTTTGTTGATGGTTAGTTTGATGTTTTGAAAAGAAAAATCCGATCCTTCATCAGGCAATATATGGGGTTTTCTATGCTTCAACGAATATGACCAGCTTTTATTCATCCATCATCAACTAGCTAAGGCTAAAGAATGATAATACTTGAAGCTTCAATTGACCGAAATTGCTTGCATACAGACCAACGGTTTTATATCGACTTCTCAGGGGTGATGGAAAGATAATGAGGGTGAGGAGACACTCCTGAAAAGATGAGAAAAATTGATTAAATATATTTCAATCAATAAAAATCACAACTACATAGGGATTCTAGGAATCGGAGAGACGTACAATGACGAGGAAATGATGAGGAAGACATGAACGGAAACGACAGCATCTTTTCGACAAAACTTCTCAAAACTAGTCGAATTATCTTCGAAAACAAGCAAGATTTAACTAAAAACCTTGTTTAAGAATAATACGAAATGTCAAATTACAACAAGTTTAGCGATGATCTAATTTTTCTTTTAGGGAGGGGGGGGGCATGGTATTAACGTAGTCGACAAACAATACGTAGCCTATATCGGCATAACCTGCATAAAGCTATGTAACGAAATCACAACAGTAAGAAGTGTATAGATATTAAATTCTGCAGCGACGCATGAGAATTGAAACAACTGTAAATTCAACGACTTAGCTTGTTGCTTTTATGATGGAGTCATTGTAATGACGAGAAATGAACGGCGCGTATCACAGTTGGCACGTTATACTCTACTTGACGCGTCAGCACCACTGAGATAAACAAGATGACATTTGTTTCTTCCATTTCAAATGACTCGTGTATGCCAACATGTTATTACTCTAGGACAGTGCAAATGATGAATTAAATATAACGGTCGTCAATTACGAGGTTGCAGAGCAACTACGGGACTAACAATACATGCCAACGTTTACGTCATTTACACAGAGATAAATTTCAAGTTGTCTACAAAGATGACGAGACTGCGGGTGATTGGATTTCTTACATAACAGACATAGACAGCAAACAGACACAAGGGACCTCATTTTCAACCAATTGCAGTTTTGTATTTTCGGATTTAAAGAGAATCATATATACATACATTGCCAAAGCTACCAAGGGATGGATTTCGGACCACCAACATTCCTTTCTTTTTCCAAAAATTTTGGGTCGATATAGAAATCATAGAAATGAAATTGCCCAACACAAAACATATGTGGGGACTATTTTGCAAAAAAAAGGAATGAATTTGACGTGGTATTTCTATTTTTTCATTTTTAAACTAATTATATATAGTTGCAAATGATGTTTGGATAATTAATTACAACCATTTTAAAAAATGAATGACACCATGAGTGTTTTCGGATTTTAAAAATGATTTTACAGTATGTGGCTACATAGTAATGACTTGAACACCCTCGATCTTAAAGAGTTCACGTTATGTATTATATATCACGTTATATTAGGACTAACATTTGCCACGATCCTCAACGTCAAGAGTTTTTGACGATTGTTTCATTTCCTTTTTCCGACGATTTCACAAGACACCTTTGATGTATGCTATCAAAAATACATTATTAGTTTTCCCATTAATCTGCAACATCTTGCATTGAAGTATGTGTGATACGTACGTAAGCCTAAATTAAGCAGTGTATCTTAGGAAAAACAATGAAGGTTTTAATTCTCCAGAGTAGTGATCTAAATGACATCATAAATGAATTTGAAGTGAGCGGATTTGAAACGGGCCAGCAATGTGAACGCATCACCTATTATCACAAAATGCGTCAAAACGGATATTGCACATAGCAGCACGGGCGTATTATTAACATGTTGTAAGCATCATTATTTTATCAACTGAGTTTAAATCAGAAGTTGAAAACACAAAATCCCATCTGTTGCATGCTGGTGTTGTAACTGTGCTAATCATATTTTCCACCATTTTCAGGTAATTCCAGCCAACGGTGTTTACTGTTCAGTTATCGATCTCGTACCGCACTGATGGGTTTTCGTACAAAAGCGGATGCCTGGGAGAGAACAATGAGACAACATTGCTGTCCGTGTCTTGAGTAAGGAGGACTGACTTATGAGGCAGAAAAAGATTCTTTTCAGAAAGACATCGACGCATTTGACGTGCATGACACGGATTGGGGGCGCAGGGAAGCAATTATCTAGTTCTCAACTGCACAAACGTTCCTGAAAAGTAAAACATGATTTGGATAGAGGTGACAAATTCGACAAATGACACACGTAACGATGATGTTTCCAATGGAATGAACCCCTCGGACGCTCTGTTCCACGTTCCGACTAGACTCATCGTTCTGGCTGTGGAAATCGCCATAGGTACCATTGGAATTCTTGGAGCGTTCTTCTGTTTGTGGAGAGACAGGCGACGGAAATCTAGAGTGAATAAACTTATCCTGCACGTCACCTTGGCGGATTGGCTGGTAGTTGATGTCGCATGTGTTTCCCAGTTGATATGGGAGTGTATGCCGAGCAGAGAGTGGATAGCTGGAGATTTCCTCTGTAGGAATGTCAAATTCTTACAAAGTTTTGCCATGATGTCGAGCTCTTTTATGGTGACCCTTCTAGCTTTTGACCGACACCAGGCCATTACCAGCCCTCTTAAGGCGCGGTTTTCAGTAAGTTATAGTATGTTCGTATGTTTTCTGGCCATTCTGCAAAAAAGTGGCCATCATATTTTGTGTAATATCTATATATTCCAGACTCCCCCGTTATATTTGGTAATTTATATCATTATACTCCCAATGTGTCAAAAATCAACAGTAGTTAAAACGGGTTATAATACAGTTGTGCAAATATTACACAAAATTTGTGTGTCACTGACGTGACTGAAAGAGTCACATTTTATGCAATTTCCCTAATGCAAACACCTAAACTCATAGCCGAAATGCTTGTACAGGTACAGCTTTATGTCCTAACAGGTTCGTTGGTTTTGAAGCACCCGATTGTATTGATTGTATTGTCCTTGTAGGAGCATTTTCGTCGCACATTTGGTCTTTCCTGTACATTATATAATCTAAGTGATGATAACTTACAGGTTCTCTTGCTTCATTAATTTATAATGCATTGGTCAATTAAACATAGTGAAACCATCCATAGATTAATGAAAATAACTACGAGATGCTTTTCTGAAAAGCAATGTTTAAACCAAGAAAAACAGACCGAAGAACTTCGCACGATGCGAAGGAAATTTCAGGAACTAAATGACAATGTTTAAATGTATTGATCATGTTATTGACACTGTTATTAAAATGACACATCATCTTCAAAATGAAATTAAACAACAGAAAAATGACAAGAACAAAGGGGCCTGGCAAGTCACTTTAAACAAATAAGGCAATTATATCAACATTATCATTTACACACTCTTGAAACGGCTATCACTATGAATATGCGTGAATGTCAATACTATTGTAAATAATGGTATTAATGAGAGGTTTATTGCATTCAGTGATCACAAGTCCATGTTCCGCAAACTATTGTTTCCTCTTTAAGATAAATGTTTTATTGTTTGTAAGATTAACATCTGTCTCGCCTTAATTAAAACGATGTTGGTTGCATCTCAGCAAATTTGTTCAGTGTCATACCATCGCGTAAGAAAAGTATGGTCAGTTGACAAATCCAGAATTATGTTGCAATCTTTTACCCATTTGCCCGATAAATGTGCATTGGTCGCGTGACGAGGCCGGCACGCGTTGCGTGATAAAGCCGGGCTCATTACTCGAGAACTAGAATAGATTCAGATGCCCGTCAAACGCTCCTTAAAAGCTTTTTTTCTTATTTCCAGGTCCTCCGTAGCACGTTAGTCGGTTGGTCGCTGGCGGCGCTTATGTCCACTCCATTGATTGCGGTGTTCCACACCAGAAACGATAACGGTACTACAGTGTGTGAAAATATCTTCCGTACCAAACCTCCCTGGCACAGGAAGCTCTATATAACCTACGCCTCACTCATAGTGTTCTACATCCCCCTTCTACTCTTGCTCGTCTTCTACATTCGCATATTTTGTACAATTCGACGGAAAGCGTCTTTGCAGGACAACAATAAAAGGCTGTTGGATAGCAATCGAAGTCGGGTTTTTCTAACGGCAACCCCGTCTTACTCGTTAGGTAGGGCCAAAATCAAAACATTGTTGATGACGATTGTTATTGTGCTAACATTTATCATATGTAGCTGTCCGTATCATGTTGTGGAAATGATTTTGACATTTGGGGACCCGCGAATCCTTGACCCTGTCTGGAATGCCATCGGTGGTGGCGCTGCAGTCGCAAACTCTTGTGTGAATCCGTATATTTTCATGATATTCCAAAGCAAGTGTTTCACTGCTCGTCCGCTTACCGTTCTCCACTCCAGCAAGAGGCGTACCATATCTGTCAGTGCTGGAAATCCAGAGGCGGTTAACTCCTCAAAAAAGACGAATGTAACTGACGATAAGATCACTTTTCCACTTGCACGAAATGATCTGCAGGTAGAGAGAGAAGATGAGTGTGATAAATTTTAGATATCTTGAATAAATCACTCGGTATCCTAGAGCGCTTGTACTCAGAAATAAAGGCCATTGGAAATAGCTCGTAAGTAACGCGAATTTAATACCAGATACATATCATCAACATGTAACGCAGAAGGGGCCTAATCTTAAAAACGAAAGAAAATTGAATATCACTTGCTTGGTTTACGACTTGCATCTTGCATGTCACTTTCGCCCATCAGACATGTTTTTAGCCAAGTGAAATGATTTAAGAACATTTAAATCGTTTATGTGTATAAACCTGAGTATTCTGCACTCTGCGCAGTAAGTACTTATGGTACTAGACTGTGCAATTTACTAATATAACATAGACATGTAGTATATACTACTGTTCAGACAGTATTGCAACAAACGCTGAACAATGTAAACTTGCGATAAAACGCATGGTGTCTGAAAGATAAATTTCCATGGATTTTCAACGTATTTGATGGATGGTTTCCTGAAGGAACAGACATGCTTGTGTGTGGTATTTTGCATGGCTAAGGCACAACCTTTATGATGATCTCTCACATTCGAAGCTGAGTCATGGATTCAGTATAATCATTTTCATTACGAAATGAGTTTTATCTATTTATTCATTTATATTTAAAAGCAATGGTTGTCGTTAGTTTGAATGTCAGACACTCTTCCTGAATACTTGCATACTTGAAAAATATCACGATATGCCATAGGTCTAATTTGAACATGAAAAAAAAATCTTAAAGTTATTATACTATATACGTGGAATTGGCTGTCAGACGTGTTCATAGTAGAATGAAACTGCTATTTCGGTGCTTTAAGCCACAGAGCCGCTTGCCAGCAAGGTTTACATAGGAATGCGACCTTTAGATTATATTTGCACGTACAGACATACACCAATGCCTTTAGTTATTCGATCTTTAATGGCAGTCATCAAACACGTTTTTCAAAAATAAAATTAGAGCAATACAGATATTCCAAACCTATATAAACAAGTTATTAATAATGAGAACAATGTATGTAAACAATTTTTGTCAGCAATCTAGTTAATTATTTTCCTCTAGCCACTTGCAACAGTCTTATTGGATTACAATAATTTGTGAAGCTATGGGCGACTGTAGGAAATGAAAATGAGAAATAAAATTTGTTCAGCTGTCAGGGTTCCTTTTACTATAATAGCATTCGTAAAAACTATAGTTCTGTGCTACTAGCTTCACACTTGTGACAGAAAAACTACCCAGGTTTGAAGTAATAAAATATCTAAAGTTATATATATATATATATATATATATAAAGCGAGGCAGCGTGGAAGGGTGAGCCAAGGTACATCGTTTTGCATACCAACCACTAGTATTGCTTTGAACTGTAAGTTAAGAGTTTCTCGGCGTTTCGGATATAGATGTATGAACAGTATAAATCTAGCAAATAGCTGAAGCGAATCTGCTTTGCTTAAGCGCTGGTAGACTAAACGTTTGTGTCAAAATAGATGGCATTTTATAACTGATGAGCAATTTATGACTAAAATATTACATATAGTAATAAAACAGCATAAAAGAACTACACTGTAGTTTGAATACAAAGCCACTTAGTGGTAAGTAATGAAAAGTTTGAAGTTTTTCATTGAAAATGAGTTCATTTAGCCCTTTGCGTAAGTTGGAAAACTGAAGTTGACATTGACCATTAAGACAAGTATCATTATCCGTTTTAATGGAATCCACCTCGCCAACAGTTCGCTTTCATTATTTATAGATAGACAAAATCATTGAAATGGCAATTACATAACTAAAAAAATTATTTACTAGATGCTTACTGCAGAGCCTTATCGTCATTGCTGACAAGAAAATAAAGAAAACGATGCAAGGTTATTGATGACTGGTCCAAATTGCGTGGAATCAGTCAACCCCAGGAAATATAACACAGAATGCAGATGTTCGTGTAGGAAATGATTGCGGAAATACCATTCATTCCACTCGAATGACGTTCTGAGGGTAATCCCTTTTTAAAAGTACTACTCAAAGTAGATTAGCTAGTTGAAGAATGCGGTACTTATTTTTGATAGGTAACTGTTCGGAGGAAAAAGGGATGAATTCGTAAAAATAATCACCTAAAGGCAATTAAAGAGTACGAACTGTCAACTCCAAATTCAATCATGTTCTATCTCTCTGTTGATTGTTGACTACAATTAGGTTTGCACTACTGCACTTTTACTTTTGATATATAATGCACATACCAATTTCATATCAGATTCAATCGGCAGCAGCATCATTCAACATGAGTGCTAATTACACGCCCGAACAGTCTAATCATTCCGACTCCAATTTCAATTATGCCATAGACAAGATTAGGTAGCGATACTGTCTCTTATTGGAACAACGCCATGGTGAATACAAACACCAGCAGCACCTTGACCACTGGCATTAATTTATTAATTAATTAATATATATATTTATTTATTTATTTATTTATTTATTTTGATGATCAACGCACAGCTAGCTTTTGTTCTATGTAAAATTAAAGTTACTGAACATTAGTTCCCGTCATATTCCTATGTTTCTATTTACACTGTACCATTCAGTATATTTTGTCAATTGAAAGGTTTAAGACTATAGTTGGGTTTTGTATATCTGTGTTATTTTTCATTCGAACCAAGTTATAGTTAGGCTAGGCATGGAATTAATTGCCATGTAAATTTGCAAGGTTGTCAGTAAGGACGATGTTTCGAATTCGGCTTTACTGCAAATTCAGATAACTTTATTTAGCAGTGTTCTTTGATGATATGCATATTTACATGTATATGTAAGTATTTATATTTTTCTTTTGAACTGATCTCCCTGTTAACCAAAACTTCCTGGCTATTAGAGTGGAAGCAAACAGACTTTATGAAAGTTAGATAAAGATTTAATGAATGTCTTTGGGTCCTTGTTTTATATAATCTGTTTCCTTTATGGTGTAAAGGGAAGTACTGTAAAATTTTGGTGTTTTATCATACATGTACTCATAATATATTTTATTAAATGTGATAATTGAGTTACATAAGAGGGTTCGATACGTTACGATCACGAGGAAATGATCATGAAATGTTATGAGATAATGTTGTCACATCGAAAATACATCGGCGTGAATTTGCTTATTTAAGCTTTTGGCACAACAGCCTTTTTATTTTTATTTATTTCACTTTTTTTTTGGGGGGGGGGGTGAAAACTGTTATACATATCTCCTTTACCTGACCGGCTACCAATACTACCAATACTGATTTGAGGCCTTTTTTAATAGCAGAAATAACAACAATACGCACTGCAAGTCGGTGCCAGGATGTTTACTTGAAAGGCTTGCAAAATTGCTTCTGATTTTATCAACGCAAATGATTTAATGGAACATCGTAACAGCAGGCTCATATGTCCTAAACGAAAATGTTAAACCAAATGCTGGCACCCAATAATATTGTAATTCACATCTTGGGCGTCAACCAAGCCAATTTCCATGATAACATCTTACTTAGTTACAGAGTTACGTCGGAAACCGATCACTGTCGAACACCAATTTACATAGCAGCAAAACTGACGTCTGGCCATCTTGTGTGCAAATCTGCATGGAGTGGGGGGGGGGGTTAAAAGTGAATTTTATGCCCTTATATCAGGATAAGTATTTGATATAAAAGGAACGGGAAGGCTGCATTGCCAAATCTAAGCCTTAACAACGTATCGAACCCCTTAATAACCAATAGTAATGAAATGGTTCGATTACAATATATACTCATGCTAAAATGATAAGATATTCAAAGAGAATGCATCTGCTATTTAAACAAGTACAGACTAGGACGAAATATTTTGTTTAAACAGTTTATTTTATTCTCTGGGTTCCTTCTGGTGATCGATTATAAATTTGGTAAGCTATCGGCCATTTATAGGAAGAAGCAAATGTGGGCAACTGTTCTCACCACACAGTTTTCAGCAAACCTACCCCGAACTTGACAAGAAACAATGAGTCTGCTAACAACACTACGAAGAAGGAATCTCGCTTTAACAGAAAACCAGACTTGACTCCAATGGCGCATTTGATGACAATGACGTTGTAGGATCCATTCTTAGTGGCAGTTCTTCCTCTTTTGGGTCAAAAAAGGATTTCTTAGAAGTACTGCTTTGCCCAGGCCACGCATCATGAGTCTGTTGTTTACTCTTGGAACCCAGGATTTGATGTGTCTTTTTTTGCCATCTGCCCCTCAGAGAAGATGCCCATTATGTTCTTTTTCGACGGCACATCTGGTAGATCATACGACCCTCTCAGGCTGTAGTTTTACGGGGAACATCAGTGCTGATGCATGACCGCAAAGGTTACTCTGTACGATGCCGCGGGGTGGTATACAGACAGTTCCTTGCGCGATTCCATTGCAAACAGCAGTTTTTCTTTGTTTGCGCCCAGAAATCTACATCCCCAAAAGTTACCCAGCTCTCCTTTTGGGACGCGGCATTGCCAACTTTTCAATATGATGGACAACACCAGTGTACACGCTGTTTGCCATTCTGTACAGATATATTGTACATGGTGCACAATTGTAACCTCCCATTGTATATTAATCAATTTTGTCCACTTTCTCAACTTGAAAATTGTTTATTGGTCATTGCTTCAGGTAATTATATCAATTTTTGTGACAGTTATCTCAGTGGACTTTGAAATAATGATTTTATGTCTAATTTCCAAAAAAAAAAAAAAAAAAAAAAAATCCATCATTTTAGCAAGAGTGTAGGTGGGTTATGAACAAAATCTGTACGCGACTGTTCATCCAGTTAAGGGAGAAAAAGTTAATGGTTGTGTTGAGTATCTTGTTCAAAGCACACATAATGTTGTCACTCGAATCCTGTACAAAGTAGTGTTTGTAACACACACAGACACACACACACACACACACACACACATGGGTTTTGATTCCGACTATACATTAATTACTTATGCTATTTTTGAAATAAAGTGAATTTGTTTCATTTACTTATGTATATTTCACCGATTAAATTCAATCTTAATAAAGGTGGTCTGGATTGACCGAGTAACAAATATTCTTCTTCTGGGGTGTTTCTTGTCGTTTGTATGAATCGTACTGTATGCCGCAGCTCTGTAGAAGGATGGGGGAGATATAAATAAATTTTTATTCATTTACAGCCTAAGTTCTTACTTGCTTTGTATCCGAGGTTTTTTATTTCCATATCTAAATGGTTCCAGATGATTGAGTTTAAAAAACCATATTGCCTTTGCACGTCACGCTGTTGCTATAACGGTCAACTCTTTTCCTTTTTCGACAGGCGTGTATCATTACCATCGCGTGCAAATCACTTCCTCAGGAAAGAAAATGTTCAAAACTGGCCCTTTAAACTCGGATACTTTTTCGAAGTTTTCCTACTCAATCTGTGTGTTAAATCATGCACGTAGAAATAAATCTGACTTTTTTCAAAACCTGTGTGTAAAAAGAGGAATTCTTTATTTTCCCAGTATCAAATATCAAAAGAAAGAAAGAAAAAAAGAAAACATACAAAAAAAGATGAATACAATATGTATGAGCATGCAAGACGATTAATGTCACTACTGGCGTTAGTTGCTTTCAAAATAATTCCAACGATAAACGAGTGGTGATTTTGTTTTTTTTTTACTAGTGCGATAATCTGGGTCGAGGTCACAAATAAACGTAGGAACAAATCGTATGATATGTGATGTCTTTTTACAAATTATACTTGTTAAATCTTTAAGACATTAAATTGTCAAATTCTATGAAGTTAAGTGATAACAAAAACTGGTTTTGTTTTGAAAGAAAAAAAACGCATCAGCAAACTTTATTGCTCTACATGTGTAAGTATGATCAATTTATTTTGACGCATCAAGCACAAATAATACATGTTCACGATGAAGCCCAGAGTTTCCCCGAAGTCAACTCTTTCAAATGAAGCTAGATATTAGTGGAGAATGTTACGTTCAGTAATCTCAAAGGTAACGGAATCTGGTCAACCACTACTGGAATCAAGTTGGTTTTGCTGAAGGATCAAATTTTATCTTTCTTCCTATCAAGGGTTAATATTACAGAATGCCTCTTGGAAGGGTGCGTGTAGGATAAGATCGCATGAGGTGTCAGATGAGCCCGCGTTTGAAGAGCATCCCAGGCCCATGGTTTTAATACATTATTACTTCTGGGATAGAAAGTTATTGGGGCATTTTTCTGTAAAATTCTCAACAGATATTTCATTCCATTCGCAAAAGAAAACTGCAGGGACACACATGCTTCATCGTGACAACACACTTGCTCACAGTTCTATTCTGGTGAGTGATTTGTTGTAGAAACACGATTTTCTCAGCATGAAACAACAATCATTAGCCCCATTTAGAATAGGAGACTAACTAGTTCGAGGGTCAAATATGGCGACCCACTACATAGTTTGCCGTCTAATCCGCTAATAGACAATGATATATATCCCATGGGGAAGTATTCAAGTGGGTCGGTCATATTTGACCCTCGGACTAGTTAGCCCCCTTTTCTAAATGGGGCCTTTGAGTCCTGATACCCTATTAAGCCAACGTGGGGTGGTTTGGAGTGCACGGCGCAGAGAAGAAGCAACCCGCTAATTACCAGGACCAACTTCATCAAGCTTTTAAAGAAGGATGGGTCAATATCCCGCAAAGCAGATCGTAACCCTTGTCGGAGGCATGTTGCGCCGCCTACAGGAGATAATTACAGTACGCGCTAGACACACACTCTATTTGACACGTGACCTTTAAAGAGGATATCCTGATGTGTAAATTTGGTGACTTTTCGTAGTGTCTTTTTAATTTTATGCAGATTTGTTTACCTTTGAAATCACTGTACAACATCAGATTTGAGGGGAAACATGTTATGGATTCGAATAAATGGTATAAAATATGAATATCTTCACCGGTATTTTGTATTTTCTGTACCATAAATCAGATAGATACGTGATCTGGAATATCTAGCATTGTATAAAACGATTTACAGTTGTAAGATGATCATTTGTAAGTAATAATCCATGGGATTAGATGTTGGACAACCTTTGTGGCCAAGAGTGTATGTTACAAGTTAGATTGACTCTGTAAATGAGCAGTGAATGGATATGTACCTGAATAATTAAAGGGATAATAACTTTTGCCAAAAAATGAATTTTCCAGGAGTAAACAACAATTTTCCCATACTTACCAATGGTCAATGAATCTATTTGTACATTCAAAGTTAGTCCCTGGTTTTTTTCTAAAAAGTTTGGTTTTTTGTTAAAATCTCTTAAGAGATTATAACAGAGTATAGCCATCAATGGAGGTCACGTGGTCTGAAGACAAGCTCAGATATCAGAATAACAGCTATAACTGCCTTTTTTGTGGTAAAACAGAATATATTATATTTCTATGAGTTGTTTACAATGTTTTTATTGTGAAATATAGATCTCATACGAAGAGTTATTATCCCTTTAATGCTTAGCAAAACGGGGTTAGGGAATTCAGGACAATAAAAGAAAGAAGTGCCGCTTGCTTGTAGAATCACCGGGAGAATCACGCAGTGGTAGATTAGGCTTGGTCATGTTTGTTACTGTCAGTGACACCTCTCCTTATTATACCCTATACTATAGAGTTAACGTGCGGTGGCTTGGAATTTAGCGTGATGAAAGTTGTTGGGGTTGTTTTGAACTTGATTGCCCTTCCCCGTGCTATTTGAATCTTACTTAGATTTAATCGTGCAAATTGGTTAAAGCGGCGCAAAAGCTTCAGGCAATGTACAAAATTGTCCTGTACTAAATACAGCAGCCACAGGGCAAGATACAAGCCCTTTTTCTTATAGATTTCTTAGTGCAGAACGCTTAAAATGCACTTTGCAACACGCAAAACAAGCATCTCCTCGAAAAGCGGATGAAGAAGTAAAAGTCCAAAGCAGTATCATGTACCTATGGAGTAATTATAAACAATGAATCACTCTCTTTCCTGTACTTTTTGTCACGAAACTACCCACAAACAGGCCTTGTTGAAACCAGACATTTATCTACACTCAGGCAGCTGTGATATTTTACCTCATTGGTACTTTCTGGGACTCGTCGAAGCACAATGTGGATGTTTCTTGACTGATTACCTCATAGTTCTTTGCGTTGTACATGTATATTGAAACGACCACAGTGCGCTATAAGTTACACGAGAGCGTTTTGCCTTGTAATTTGAGGCAATATCATCGTCCCAGACCATGACTTTATTTGACACCTGCAGAAAACTCTATATTGATTATAAGACGTGCCGTGTTCTAATTTGTTCAAATTAACTGAAGTAGGTGGATTAGATTTCTAAATCTTGATAACCTAGTTTCTGATGAGTGCAAAACACGTGGGACTTCTCTAGATATTATTATTATTATTATTATTATTATTATTATTATTATTAGAAACACATTACGTGTTAAAACTAAAACAAAGATAAATGTTTTCTACCGACCCTGTTAACAGTGAGTCGCCTTTCATAAACAAGCTTATCAATGTTATATGGCCTAAGCAGTGAATTATATCTTTGAAAAAATGTTGTTTTAAGCATTTGTGTCAAAAATGTAATATAAAAGGAAACGGTGGATCCACTACAAGAAAAATACTGCATACCCGATGAACATAAGCTGAACTGAATAATTTACCAGCTTCTGCATGATATCTACAAGTCTGCTTCCTGACGCATCGTACACCGTTGAATCTCACCCGATGCATCCTTGGTAACTACCAAGTTCAGTTGACTTGGATCAGCCGTCTAGCTGGACTCCTGTCGCATTCACAGCCACTAACAACGGGAGATGTGTAGTTAACGTGAATTAATTTTTTCATGATTTTTTAAATTTTGTTTCGATTTACATGTAAACATCATTTTCGTATTTTATATGAATATATTCATATGTAAATTAGTTTTGCTGCATACACTCATCTGTTTACTTTTAGTGTCCAATTTGCAAATAGTTGAGGGGAAACTATCTCACTTTGATTCTGCATTCGAGTAGAATTATTTAATTGGATGTCAAGAAATGCCGATCTAGAACAGAAAGCACAGATCTAGTATGAACGCGATCTCCGGTATTTATGCAGAATTCACCAAGAAATGGCTCCAGACAGTTCGCAGTAATCGCGGTGAGTTTTACCATCTGTTAACCGCTAACATGTAATGGTGCCCGACACGGTAACTTACCAGCGTTAGGGTAAGTGTCATTCAAGATTCAACAATAACGGTGCTTTTAGTGTTCTCTTATGACATATGGGTGTTCGTGCGTAAAGTGCGCTTCAATCAAATGCAGTAGTTTCGTCCAGAATGAGTGTCATCATCTTTGTTTTCGACTGGTGTTGGCACAAATACAGAGATTATCGACATCAGATCCCCCTAATTATGTGTCAAACTTGTCACCGGATTTTACTTACAAGAAAGTCTAATGCGTCAATCGTAATCCTGGTAGAAGATCCATGGTGCAATACACAGGTTGTAACGGTTAATTAAAAAAAAATTAGTTACAAATATGGCCAAGAGTTACTTTAAAATTGGGCGTTGAGAGTATTATTCATCCTGTTCAAATGGTATTTAGATGCAGAAGTTCTACATGTATTTATTTTAAACTTATTTTGCCAAACACCCTTTGAGACATTGATTATATATGTAAATTTTTAAGTGGGATGAAAATTGTGTGGAAAGAGGTAAAAAGGGGTAAAAAAAGTTTAAGACATGCAATACGTTCATCCATCTGCTGGCATAACATGTAGGAGGGCAAATAAGAAACCCCGAGTTTCAGGAAGCTGACCTTGAGTCGATGACTTACCACATGCATTTTACATTTCTGTCACCGACGTGAACGATACACTCGTGATTGTCAAAGTCTGTATCAGACCCTAGAAATGGCACCATAAAAGCTCTCCATTTCACAGCCTACTTGCGCTCGCTCTCGAACGTTTATCAATAGCAGATGCAGTGCAGCGTTTTAGCGCTATAAATGAGATGTGGCTTACGATGTCACTGTTACCAAAATGTTCCTTTATTTGCTGTGGATCATAAATGTACAGACATACCCATTTTCTTAAACGTATTGCGCCCGAGTTTGAAAATGTCCCAAAGCCAAATTGTTATCCTGTAAAAGCTGTCTATCTTCCCCAATGCAGAACTTAAAAACTATCAAAACCCAGGTGAAAGTTTATCTGAAGCGAACCTGTCGTTATTTCCGTCTGGACCTTCGATCCTTGCAAGGTCCAAGCCATAGAATCTCTCAACTACACGCGAGAAATAAAACTGCCCATATTATACACCACCGCGCCTTTTATGCTGCGTGAACAGAAAAAAACTTTCTGCTCGAGAAAAATTCGTTTTGGCGCGAAAACCCGGGATAAGATACCATTAAGCATATTTCTAGACGTGTACAACGTGACAACAGTGACGACGTTCATGGAAATGTTAAGTGGAGCATTTGGTGGTAACTTCCTTAATAAACAATAAGATTCTTCTACATACTAGTAGTCGTGTATAAGCAGGCATACTCCGCGTTTCTCAAGCAATAACATCTTTTAAATCAAACTTCAACCCAGAGACAGTACGAAAATCCAGCTATCCCTCTGGGCACAGATGTTCCAAAACCTGTAAGACGCACACTCTAATTAAATTACTAAACGTGCTGTGATTTAACACAGTCCAAAGACATTATCCGGTGTAATTATTTAACAATCTCAGGGTAAACCCATGCAGGTATAAAGATCAAAGATTAGAAAGGTTTAGAACAGTATCTTCAAACAGAATCCAGGATTATTTGAAGGGGGGTTGGCGGTTAGAGCTGCAATAAGAACGATGTTTGAAAATCCTCAGAGGACCTTGTTAAAACCAGGAAGTAGATCGCAACTAACAACTACCGGTACTGTAAATCGCACCAAATCACGATTGTTGTGTCATGGTGTATCTTTTTTCAATATTGTGACGGGTTTTTGGATGGTTAAATAATTGCAACATTAACCATAAAACACCAAACAATAATACGTTATGGGCATAACAGATTGCAAACATATAAAAATTGCACATGACAACGATTTGAAGCCTCGCGGGATTTTTTCACCGTAACGTTCTTTGTCGCGCTGTCAGTCGATGCAGCAAGTTATTAGAAAACAAATTGACTGATAATAAACACAATATTGCACCTCCAAGCTTCGTGACACGTTTTCACATCATATACTCAGTATCTGTACAAGTACTGGTAATCTCTGCTCAAAATTCCCAGAGAAAATATATAATCTAACCATGCTGTCTGAAAATCCGCTTTAATTTAGCACTCACGATTCCACTCTCGTGTACTTCGGATTCGGGGCCGCTGAAGGGCCCCGAAAATTTTGGTAATTTAGAGGGCCAACGGTGCCATTTGGTACAGTTTAAAACTATGATTCAGCTAGTCATAATTCTTATTTCAAGAGGGGACCATTGGTGTGATTTTTTTTTCAGAAATCGAAGGGGGGAGGGGGGTCAGGACCCCCCCTGACACTCCCCCATAAATCCGCCACTGATCTTGGTGGGAAGTCATAAGGTTATTCCGAGCCTACTTCAGGTTGAAAATTTTTTTGTCTGAACGTACTACAAGTATGTTTTACTACAACTTGGCTAAGTAGTCTGTACCCTGTTTTAGTGTCATCTACTAATATCAGCGCTTTGAAATCTGACACTTTCAAATAAGTTTCTCCCTCTTCTGTCTGCTCGTTGGCCGGTTGGAGCAACTGACCTACCTTTGTGCAGCAATGCTGACGTAGATCGTGCGCTAGTCTTTTACGTTATGCAAAGACAAACATGTTTACTTGCAATTTTAGACACCCACTTTATACGATTACATTACACAATAACATAAACAATTGCTAGAGACATTCGTCATAGCTGTCTTGCATCAAGTGGTTATGAACGACTACCTCCAATTGCTTGTGGGTATATGAACATGTACAAGCAAGTCGGCGCTCATAAATCTCAGTCGAAATCTGTTGATGCTCGCTAGTCTGGTGGATAACATGAGCAATTTCCACATACTAGTAGTTCCTCTAGTCATTTGACGTATGCCAAAGCTATTTGTGAATTGGCAATATGAAATGCAAACCTCAAAATGATGTAAAATGGCAAAGCACGTCATCATTTTAAAACATCAATATCATGTTACTTAGATAGAGTTCTATTATAGTTCATGGCCATATAGAACACGTCAAATATTTGGCGGACTAGAAAATACTTTCAACATTCTTTACTGTCTATTGGCTTTCCTAACTAATAAAATCAACATGAAAGCTGATGTTAAAAGCAAATGGCCATATCTGCCAACAAATACTGATCACATGCTTTGTCACTGTGTATGTCAGACAATTAGCCCAAGGATGTGCAGTGCTGTCGATAAATCCATGGGAACTCATATCTATGCGCTTCATTCCTCCAATCCCTTTTTGCATGCGAATAGTACAATCAGTAGCAGATTCGCAGGGGGGGGGAGCACGTCTCACTCTGATCTCCCTCTTAACCACGTCCTCCCCTCACCCCAAAAATAGCAGCGTGGCAAATCGAGTCAAAATAAGTGCCCTGCGTGTTTTTGTCGCGTCAATTTTTGTTGAACATAGATGTGTATCCTAGGATACGAAAGAACGCAGATTGTCTTTATCTCCTCCCCCCTCCCAATTATCAAAAACTTGGGCCTGGCAGTGTAATATCACAACACAAGTGTCTGATAATTTTAGAAAAACATTCACGTATGTCTGGTGTGATAATTTACCAGCACTCACTTGATATATTAAAACAAGGGCACCACGTACCTGTTTGGTGTTTTTAATGACATAATGGCGGATTTGCGTGTTAGTATTCTTTGGCCTACGACTTTGATAAAAAAAATATGGTTTAGCATGAAACTGAACACAATGGAATACGGGTTTGTGTTTGTCTGGTGGAAAATCGACAAGCAATTTTCAATTCATTATCATTTCATTATGTATTAATTTGATAAATAGCAAAATTAGTCAACGTTAACTGCAGTGTTTGCTTGACTTTGATCTTCTTCGCCTTCGCTCTCGTTGTTTTGCTTTTGAGAGCTTTATATAATGAACATTGCTTCTTCACAAAAACTGTAATTATTGTTAGAATTGCTCCCCTAGCACTCGCAATGTACAAAATTTCATTTTCGAAACCAAAATTGACTTGCTGTCCTGAAAATTTCATAAAATTTGTTTAAAGCTAGCCTGCTTCAAAAAGTGCTCTATAGTGAACCTACATGTAGCAAGAAAAGACAGAACATGTGTTTCTTTGCGTTCTTTATTCTGAAATTACCTTCATTTTAAGGTAATTATCTGAAATAGATTGCTGCAGAATAAATCGACCATCACTGTAAAAACTTTAGAAGATGCCAAAGAAAACGTTGACTGTCTATCTACACGCCAAGCACGCTTACCAGCTTGATACAGCTAACTAATCATCCATGCTAAGGCTTGTGAAAATTGTAAGTGGCCAAAAAACATCTTCATACATGCATTTGGCAGGGCTTAGCAAAGACTTATGTATATCATACGTGTCGCGTTTGAACAAAGTTTAAGGCCTTGCTACGATTCTATGACAATCTCATTATATGCTCCATGTCTTTATCGCGGCTTATTTGGAACACTTGGATGCACAGGAAGTAAAGTAAAGCAAATTATAAGCGCGGGATTCTTACTTTAACTTAATCGAGTTACAATGGGGCATTTGGCTCTAGGCATATTTCTCTTTATACTCAATGTATATTCTCCTTATTCATCGATACAAAACATTGTATCAATATGCCTCATCAAGGGTAATTTGTGAATTCTTTCGTTTTCGTTTCTAAAGAAACGCATTGCAATCTTTTTCCATTTTGAGCCCTTGTATAAAATCTCAACTTTCCCTGATATTTTTAATGAACGCAGCTAGATGTCGTTTTGTCAGCGTAATCAATCAAGGCATTGTTCTATAGTGCACCCCGACTGTTTGATGTTTTGCAGAAACCATTGTTTTGTGCACATCTCAGGATGAAAACCCATTTTTAAAATGATATGGTCCGACTAAATAAAGAAGGGCTTCATCTGGAAAATAGGGGGATGTGTTTATTCTCAGAGTCTGACACAGACAGCCGTGTAGT